GCCAGGTAAGTAAGACACATTTCACTGAGCCCTATATGCCAGGTAAGTAAGACACATTTCACTGAGCCCTATATGCCAGGTAAGTAAGACACATTTCACTGAGCCCTATATGCCAGGTAAGAAACATCTCAGGTTTTTTAAAAACGGTTTATTTCTGCGACCCCTGTATGCCAGATAAGACATACCTCTGTGATTTCCATATGCCAGGTAAGTAAGACGCATCTCATTGACCTCTGTTGTGCCCTTCAGGTCTTGTCTGAACCTGATCCTGGACGCCCCTCAGCCGATACAAGCGGAGCTCGACCTGATTGCCTCTTTGGCCTTGCTGGAAGAGTTTGGCGTGGCCATCTTGCCTCTACAGGGTAGGTCACGGCGGGGGGCTCGTTGGGTTTGGTTACGCTTTGTTCAATGAGATGTTTTTTGTTTTTGTCGATTTGTTCTGGGAGATGTTTTTGTTTTTGTTAGTTTGTTCTGGGAGATGTTTTTGTTTTTGTCAGTTTGTTCTTTTAGATGTTTTTGTTTTTGTCAGTTTGTTCTGGTATTTGTTTTTGTTTTTGTCAGTTTATTCTTGTAGATGTTTTTGTTGGTTTGTTGTGGTAGATGTTTTTTGTTTTTGTCAGTTTGTTCTGGTATTTGTTTTTGTTTTTGTCAGTTTATTCTTGTAGATGTTTTTGTTGGTTTGTTGTGGTAGATGTTTTTGTTTTTGTCTGTTTATTCTTGTAGATGTTTTTGTTGGTTTGTTCCTGGGAGATGTTTTTGTTTTTATCAGTTTGTTCTGGGAGATGTTTTTGTTTTTGTCAGTTTGTTCTGGGAGATGTTTTTGTTTTTGTCAGTTTGTTCGTGGAGATGTTTTTGTTTTTGTCAGTTTGTTCTGGGAGATGTTTTTGTTGGTTTGTTCTCTCTGTTTTTTCTGGTAGATGTTTTTGTCAGAAACTGCTACCTCACGATTACGGGTGTGGGTGGTTGGCGGGTGCTCTGGTGTGGATTGCTCCTTCTTTCCTATCAAACATCTATCGTCCTTATTTCCCCTTCTTTTTTATGTTTGTTACTTTCTTTTAACACCTCTAATCCTGGATACTTATATGACCTTATTGTGTTGCAAGTGCCGTAAAACGCTTACTAAAATTAACGATTACGGGTACGGTAACCGTACCACTAGACTTCCGACACCACCGTGGTCTTTTCTCTCCGTTCCTTACTCTGCTGTTTGTGTCACTTGTTATCTGTATGACCAGTTAAGTTTTTCCTTCTTTTATATTTGTTAGCTATCAATGATTAATCATGTACATGGTAATGGGTTTTTTTCAGTGCGTTTGAGCACCAATCGTTTGGAACTGGTGAAAAAGGCTGTCAGTTCAAAACCCACCAGCTATAAGCAGACTCAGAGGGTAAGAGTGTGTCTGTTGCAGATTGTGGGAAAAATCGTACTGTGGTAATTGAAAAGAACAGTTGCCCTTTCGAATGCCTCTAGCACTTTGTTTTGTTCGTTTACAAAGATGGAGAGGGGACTTTCACTACTGCAAATCTAACCCCCCCCCCCCCGGGGCGGTGCCGTTGACTGAAGCATCTTTTGGCCATTCCCAAAGGGGGGATATTGACATCATGTTCTTATGCACAGTAGAATTGTAAATGGGCTGATTCAACAATGTCATGCTCATAACTGTGCCTGAACTACAACAAGGAACTGCTGCTTTTTCTTTCTTAATCCTTACTATTGTCATTTTCCTCTACTTCTTCTGTATATTGAATTTGTTACACTTTTGTGACCCGCTATTTCCGGGGTGCCTTGATAGTCGAAGTAGACTTTGTGCTGTTGAAGCTAGAGAGGTGAGCAAAGTAAGCCTGATTTTCTGTAAGGCCTTCTCTGTTGACATCCACCCTTTGATGCTCATTTGACCTCATGCACTTGCAAGCGCTGTAAAACCTTACTAAAACTAAAAACAGCAGATCTAATACCCTGTTGTATTGTTTAATTTAAAAGATGGTTTTTTTTTTCAACGTAGCTATTTTTTCACGCCCCCATCAACACAATTTAGATCACGTAGGAGGCAGGTTTCAACCTTGCCTGTCAGGGCCAGCCCAGGCTGAGAGGGATATTCCAT